CTTCTTCTTCTTCTTCTTCTTCTTCTTCTTCTTCTTCTTCTTCTTCTCTCTTTCTCTTTTCATTGGGGAGGGCAGAAGTGAGGGTGAATTAAAAAGTTTAGTTTCACACACATTGAGTTTGACCCCCTTATTAGACAACCCAGTAGAGCCATCCAGCAGTTAGTTGCCGGAGCTAGAAGTCATGAGCAGAGATGATATTACCAAAGGAGGAAATTTATAAAGAGAAGATAATTAATTGGAGTTCAGGGTCTTAGATTTCAAAGAAAACAAACAAATAAAAAGCTAACAGTAAGGCAAATGTGGTGATGCAATGGGATTCCTGCTTCTCTCTTTTGCTTTGATCATAGGGGACTTCAGTTTGGAATCCACAAGTCTTCCTTTTTTTCTTTGTCAAGGATAAGAACAGAGGGTTGAGAGAAACAGAAAACCATATGATCCCCAAAGAGATGTTACTAGTTTTAAAAATGGAAAATTTGAGGCAGACTCTTCTGAGGGTGAAGGGCTATTGCTGAGGGGGTAGAGAAGAACCTGGAGGATGGTGCAAAGATCAAAGGCTGGTGGGTAGAAGATTTCCTGTGTGAAGTTAGACTAGGAGTCCTTTCAGCCAGGAAGCTTGCTCTCATAGCCAATGGAGAATTCATTCTGAAGGTCTTGCAAAGTACAATGATGATAGGACATGGATTGCTTTTTTTTTAATGTCAATAAGACAGTTCATCACCTTTCCTTCTGGCTCAATCTTTCAACAGAACATGTGAATCCCAATGTCTTTTTCGATACTCTTCGCATCTACTTGTCTGGGTATGTGATCCCTTGCTTTCACTGTTTCCTCTGAACAAAGGAACCTCCACCTATAGAAAGCCAAGAATCTAATTCCAATAGCCCACTGATAACTCACTCCCATGAGCTCCCAACAACCTCACCTTGTTGTTTAATATGTTAGAGATAGCACGGAACTATTTGCAAGTTATTGGTCTAGATGCTGCTTATGAGTTGGGTTTGGGAGCTGTTATTTAGAAGTCACAAAATAATTAATTCTGATTTATAAGACAGAGATCCACTTCTAGCAAGAGTGTAATATGGTGTAGTGGAAAGAGTACTGAGTGTGAGTTTTGACTCTTGACACTCATTGCCTGATGTGACATTGGACAAATTACTTCTCTTCTTAGCTTCAGTTTCCTCATAGGTAAAATGTGGATAATGATGATTGTATTGTCAAGCTCACAGAACAGTTGTAAGAATGAAATTAAATAATGTATGTAAATACTTAAGATACTGATGTATGACTTTCTCATATGATAGCTATCAAATTTACTTAGGTCTGTGATACTAAAACCACTCTTTTCATAACGGATTGATTTGGTTGGGGGTAGGGAGGGTCCATGATAAAAAATCAAACAAAAAGCTAATAGAATTACTTATTCTCCCCATCCTTTAGTTCCATACCTATAAAAATTTGATTTTGGAAAATTAATGGAGGCAAAAGCTTTTCTCTGACAAACATAAATATATCTTTGTCTCTATTTTGGTTTAGCTGGAAGAATAACCCACTGTTGCCAAATGGCCTGATATATGAAGGGGTGTGGGAGACACCCAAGATGTTCTGTGGGGGAAGTGCTGCCCAAAGCAGTATCATGCAGTGTTTTGATGCCCTGCTGGGGATCCAACACAGCAGTGCAGAGGGTAAGTTGGGGTTCTGACTGGGATTTGAGATTCAAATGAACCTTGTAATATGGTGCAGTAGAAACAGACAAGGATACTTAAAGTACTGCCTATTTCCCTGAGCTGTTGTAAGGAAAGTACTTCATAGAAATGGGATTTACGATAACTTGTAAATCAGCTTCATAAAGAAATGTGTTTCTATTATATATGGTCAGAAAGCAGGAGTGTGGGAAAGAAGTTGAGGGAAGCCAAGATCCAAAGACCCACGTGGAAGGCATTTGGTTACAGTTGTCTATGGAGAAGACCCAACTCCAGAGCAGGATGGGGGACTTTTATCTTTCCTCATCAGCATCTATTTTTCCAGGGCTTAACATACACAGAACTATCCACTATAATGGCTGTACTAATAACTCTCATTAATAATGATAACAATAATAAAATATATTCATAAATCCATTTCCAATAATGCTTTAATGTTTACAAGCAATATTTTGCATGACAATCTTATGAAGTAGGCAATATGAGAGTAAGTATGCCCATTTTATAGATGAAGCAAAAGAGTCTCAAAGAGGTGAATCTATGTGCTTAAGCTATTATAGTTGTCAGCGGATGACAGAGACAGGGCTTCTGACTCTAAGTCCAGTACTTCATTTCTCTGTACCTCAGTTTCCTCCTCTACAAAGTGGGATAGTAATCATTGCCCTATCTAATGTACAGCTTTGTTATGAGGAAAATATTTTGTAAACTTTTAAGTATAGATTAACATCTAGCTTATTATAATTACAGATAATTGTAATATATAATCTAGCACCCAGCTGTCCCACTGCCATTGGCAGGGACATATTCCTTATCCTACTGATAAATATCAGTGATCACTCTTTCATTCCCCATCCCCCATCCCCATCCTCATTCTTCTCTTCAGTGTCTCCTTAATGCTCTACTTTTTCCTCTTTTTTTCAGAGAAAACCAGTGCTAAATTCCTCGAGGAAATGAGGAACTACATGCCATCATCTCACAAGGACTTTCTCGAGGCAGTTACTTCTAGCCCATCTGTTAGAGATTTCATCATCTCCAGTGATGATATTAAGCTGAAGAAGGACTATAATGAATGTGTAAAAGCTCTAGTTCATCTCAGGAGCTATCACCTTCAAGTGGTGGCCAAGTACATCATAAATCAATCAAATAAACAGGACAATGCGAAAGAGAAGAAATCATCAGATAATCAAGAGAAAGGGACAGGTGGCACGAACTTAATGACTTTCCTTAAGACTGTAAGAAACACAACTGAGAAAGCTCTATTGAAAGAGAGCTAATGGAACACAGCACTATTATTACTCATTCAACATGCAGTTATTAAGTTCATTTTATGTGTCATATACTAGGCTAAGTATATTGCTGCAAAGAATCAAACAATCTCTGCTGTCAATAATATTACATTCTACTTAATTATGCAGTTGATAGTCTTCTGTTAACCAATCCATCAATTGATCAATGAGTAAGTATTAAGTAAGAACTTCATTATGTATGAGATGATAAGTTTGGGATATACAAAAAATTTTTGAAAAAAAAAGCTGTCCTTGTCCTCAGGGAACTCACATTACATATAAGGTTACATGGAGAAGTCTTCCTCTGTGAGTTACAAGGAATTCTTATAAGATGTCTTCATTGAATGTTAATAAAGATGTTGAACAAGAAAAAAATGCTTTGTTTTGAATGACATCAATGCTATGTTGCCAATGTGGCTACATCATAATGTAATTGTGTAAAATGAATAAATAAAAGCTATTTTAATAGTGGAATGAGTCCTTTGGGGTTCACTCTCCCAGTAAGGGCTGGCTTTACCTTACTGGTATATATAAGTAGCTACCAATGTAGAGTGATTTAAAGGCCATAGGAAACTGCCTTCCCCACCAATCCCACCATGTGTACACACACTGCCTTAAATGCCTAAACTGCAGGAAATTCATGAGTTCATTTGATTTTGTTCTGGAGACTAGGGAGGTAAACTTCCTGGGATGACTACAGTTACTGAGTCAGATCTGGACAAACTCCATTTAAATTCCTGTCTCCCTTCCCCACCTCTCTTGTTTAATAGCAAATGTTATTGCTTATTTGGGACTAATCTGGCTTGAAGGAGTGGAGGAAGGAGCAGGGTAATAGGTTTCTAAGCAATGGGGGAGGGATTAAGGAGATTCTTTCTAGCCAGTGAAGGAAAGACAGATAGAATGATTAAGCTGAGGGTGGCAGAGAAAAAATATAGGAAAACTCAACATGTTCTGAAATCAATCAATCAATCAATCAGTCAACAAAGATTCATTTACTATGTACAAGGCACTATGATAGAGCTAGAGTTATAGAGAAAAAAGATCCCCACAAAAACAGCCTTTACCATCCAGAAGCATATGTTACTGGGGGAGATAACATATAAATCAAAGTATATAAGATAAGTGCAGAATAGATGGACGTTAACCTTAGAAGGAATGGCACTAGCAGCTGAAGGTGATGGTGGAAAGACCAAGAAAGGGTTCCTGGAAGAGATGACTCTTGAGCTGATTCTCAAAGGAAGCCAAGAAACCTAAGAGTCGGAGGTCAGAGGTTTGGAGGGAGAGCATTCCAGGCATAAAGAAAAGCCAATATAAAAATACAAATACGGGAGATGGGGAGTTGTGAATAAGGAATAACAAGTAGACCAGTATGGTCATGTCATAGAGTGCATGGAGGGGAATAGAATGTAAGAAGATTAGACAGATAAGAAGGAGACAGGTTGTGAATATCTTTAAATGAAAATTAAAGATTTTATATTATATCCTGGAGGTAATGGGGAACCACTGCAAGTTATTGAGTGTGTGTGTGTGTGTGGGTATGTGTGTGAAAAATTCATATGGTCTGATCTATGCTTTAGGAAAAACATTTTGGCAGCCGAGTGGAAGATGGATTGGCATGGGAAGAGACTTGAGGCAGGGAGACAAATTGGAAGATTATTGCAACTGTCTAGACTAGAGGTGATGAGGGCTTATAAAAGGGTGTTGATGGCTGTGTGATTTTAGAGAAGGGGTTGTATACTAGGGATGTAGTGAAGATAGAAATGAACTTGGCAATGAATTGGATATATGATACGAGTGAGAGTGAAATTTTGAGCCTAGAATTTAAAAAAGGATGGTAGTTCCCTTGACAGTAATAGGAGAGTTTGGAAGAGGGAAGATTTTAGGGGAAAGATAATGAGTTCTTTTTTGGACATACTGAGTTTGAGATGCCTATGGAATATCGAGTTTGAAATGTCCATTGAGGAATTGGTAGTGTGGGACTTAAGATCATCAAAGTGATTAGAGCTGGAAATCTAGGAATCATCTGAATGAAGAAGGTAGTTAAGCTTGTAAGGAGATGATTAGATTGCTAAGTGAGAGAGTATGTAGAGAAAAGAAAAGATGACCTAAGTCAAAGCCCTGGGAGATACCCAGTTAGTAGTCATGGTATGGATGATGAGCCAGCAAAAGAGAATGAGAAGAGGCAGTCAGACAGATAGGAAGAGAATCTGATGCGATCAATGTCAAAATCCTAGCAAGGATGTACTATCCAGGAGAAGGTAGCAGTTCATTAAATTATTTAAATGGGTTTGGCATACTCATCTGTAAGAGGGAATTTTATTTCGCCTTCTAAAAACAAGATGAAATTGTTAAATTTTAGGATTGTTCCTGAACTATGTGATTAGAAAAATTGCTTGGTTGATTAGATTTATTCATAGGAAAATAGATTATTTATTGAAGATGAAGGACACCTTAAAAACATTTAGATCATAAGGAAATAAGCCTAGAACAATAACTTTCAGACTTGTAATGGTAGAAAGGGATTATGTGGAATTATTTACTGAATTTTTTCTGAAGGCTCTTCCCTATCCTGGCCAAGAAGTGAGCAACTTGTCCAAAAGTTGGTGGGAAGTAATGACCTGAACTCATTCTGCTAACCATAAACTTTGTCTCTATTAATGATGCTTCTTCCATAAAACCATACTAAAAGCTGAAAGAGGCTAAGCAAAACCTCAGAGTCTAGGCCTTGATGTGACTAAAATGTATAATTTTAGGCTGTCAATTCCTGATTACCCAATAAAAGTTTATTTTTAGATCTCAATAAATGAACAACTAAAATAAAATTTTAAAAACTGTCAAAAGCTGCAGAAAGGTAGATAAGGATGAGGAATGAGAAGAGACCTTTAGATTTGGCAACTAAGAAATCACTGGTACCTTTGGGAGAGAGAACTGTTAGTTGAATGAAAAAGCCAGAAACCAAATTACAGAGAGTTTAGAATTGAGTGAGAGGAGAGGAAGTGGAGGTATGTAGTTTATATGGGCTTTTCAATTAGTTTAGCTGAGAAGGGAAGGAAAGATACAAAACGGTATAAAACAATAGTTGGCAGGTGTGGTAAAATCTAGTGAGAGTATTTTTAAGGACGAAGGATATTTGGGTGTGTTTGTAGGCATCAGTGAAGGAGTCATTAGATAGGGGGAGACTGATGATTAGAGAGAGATTAGGGATGATAATGGGGGCAATATGCTGGAAAAGATGGAAAGGCTATAGAGAGGGGTTGACCTTGGCAAATAGAAAGGTAACTTCATCATAAGAAACTACAGATGAAGAGGAGATAGTAGGGGGTGATGAAATAGGAATATGAGATGATGAGGAAGAGAGAAAAGGGAGGTTTTGGGGAATGGCCTTAATTTTTTTTGCTTTTTTGGTGAGGCAATCAGGGTTAAGTGACTTGCCCAGAGTCACACAGCTAGTAAGTGTTATGTGTCTGAGGCCAGATTTGAACTCAGGTTCTCCTGACTCCAAGTCTGGAGCTCTATTCACTGCATCACCTAGCTGCTCCTCCTTGATTTTTTAATGAAATATTTGGTCCTCAATAGAAAGGTTGGGAAATATAAATAAATGGTATGGGAGAAGTAAGAGAGAAAGTAATGAAAGAAGTAATGGTTTGGAACAGCTATTGTGGTGAGTGTGACAGAGAATTAATCAGAATGGAGTGGCAGGGAGTGCCTTTCTTTAGTGAGAGCCCAGTTTGGATTAGTTAGGATAAATTTTTAACGGATCCAGTCAACCTGATTTAGTGGTTCTTCCAGCACATGAATAAGAACAAAAGAAGCAGATGTTGGGAATTATTCAGTGTTGGAATTTGGCAAGGTGTAACTAGCAATAGGACAAGGTGACAAAGGATTTCAAGAGTAGAGAATAGTGTAGAGTTGAACAGGTTCACCAAGACGTTATGATTAGAAAGAAAGGAGACTATAGCCAGAGCATGAATAAGGACCTAGGATGGTACTGAGGAAATACAGGGCTTTGGAAGTTACAGTGAGGATGAAAAGTTAGTTTTTAAAAATGAGGAATAGGGAGATATGGAAACATAAAATATTTTGATCAGATAAAGCAAATTCAGAGTTCTTAAATGTGGAAACTCAATGGGTGTGTATATTGGTGAGATCAAAAGTATAATATCCCTTATATGTAGTTGAAAAGGAGTGGAGGAGTGAGTCAGGGTAATTGAGTAGATTAAAGAATCTGGAAATTAGGGCATTTGAAGAAGCACTAACATATGCTGAAGTCTCTTAGAATGAGGTAGAGATGATGACTATAAGTCAGGTTTTGAACTCATTGAGAAAAAGACGTAGAATGCCCAAGGCATCAGTAGATAATTGCTATCAGAATCTGGATTGGGTGATAAATTTAGAGGAGAGGTTGTTGAGTTATGGGACTAAAGAAAGAGCCTGGAAGTGGTAATGGGAATAAAGAGTATTTTGACCCAGTCGCCAAAACTAAAGAGTGAATGAAAATGAAGCCAGTACTAGAAAGAGTGATAAGTGAGGGAAGCAGTGTCATTGGAAGGAGTCAAGTCTCAGTGAGGGCCCAAAATGAAAGGAATGAGAAAGAAAGAGATTTAAAGTTAATTTTAGAGTAGGTGCTCTATAGAGGACACAGTGGAAGAGTAGGAGATCTGCAGTGGGACATTTCAGGGGAGTGGATAGCTAGGGTTGAGGAATCTGGGGAACAGACAGCTGAGATTGTGGAGGAGTCATTGTTCTGAGGTGTCCAGAGAGTATAGTATCACAGGGATGGAGAGAGTTCAGGAAGTGGGAGAATGCTAATAACCAATTGGGGATGTTGGTTAATGAAGCAGGAGATTAGAAGGTTCAAAACCCATAATTTGTGTCAGCATACTCCTCAGCTAGTTGATTGGCTCTATTATTTTGAATTGGTGCAAGCCTAGTGCTGTGGTGGCCCTCATTGTGTGGTTGGGTATTGTAGTGAGGAGAAGAAGTTTGCTTTGTCACAGCCCCCAAACCCCTCAGATCAAGGACTGGGCTGTGTTGTGTCTTCAGGATACAGGAGCCAGTCATACTAATAAAATAGTGGACTTTTCTATGGTGCTTTAGAACCTGCAAAGTACTTCAAGATTCCAGATAGGGAAGGTATGTTAGGCAGAGCAAGGTCACACATGACACCAGTGATGGGGATGGCAGTTACAGATTCTTTTTCTGGAACAGGAGAGAAGGAATTGATGGGTGAGGAAAGATTTGGAGGAGTAGAGAGGCGATGACGGAGTTCATTTCAGATGGTATCATTCTTCTCAATTTCCCTAAATATCTCTAAAAACCCTCTTTTTGTTTATTGCCTCTGCTGTTGTTCAGTCATTTTTCAGACTCTTCATGACCCCATTTGAGGTTCTCTTGGCAGGGATACTGGAGTGGTTTGCCATTTCCTTTTCCAGTTCAGTTTACAGATGAGGAAAATGAGGCAAACATGGTTAAGT